TTTCTTGCAGACGTTTCATGACCCAGCTAGGGAACACCATCAGTGCTAGAAGGGAGCGGGGTTTGCATGGAGGAGCAGGAGCAGGAGGACTGTGGGGTCCTCGGTGCTTTTTTCCGCAGACGTTTCATGACCCAACTAGGGAACGCCATCCGTCCTCTCCTAGCGGCTTCACCTCTGGGTTGCTTCCCTTTTTCCAGGACGGCAAGCTCACCAGAGAAGAAGTTGTGGACAAGTACGACCTCTTTGTGGGCAGCCAGGCCACGGACTTCGGAGAAGCCTTAGTACGGCACGACGAATTCTAAGCCAGGAATCCTCTTTTTTTTTCTTTTTTTTTTTTTTAAGGAAGAAAGGCCGGGGTGGGGGGGGGGAAAAGTACGGTTTTTACTGTTTCGGGATTAACACACCACAAAAAAAACTCTCTCTACTATCAAGACTCCCTTTCAGCCGAGAATGGGGAGGGGGGGGAGAGGAGAACCACTCCCCACCCCACCCCCCAATTGGTCCCATCCCCCTTTATTTTTTTTTTCCTCCCCCCCCACTTCGCTCCCTACGAGGCGGGAATTCCGTATTGCGAGACGTCGCCTTCGGTTGAAACCCCAAGGTTTTGCTTTTTTTAAAAAAAAATTTTTTTGCTTTTTTTAAATAGAGTTGCATGTTCTTTTGTGTCTAACAAGTTCCAGTTTATTTTTATTTTTTTAATTTTAATTTTTATTTTTTGTTCCGTGTGAAATGAAGAACGCGTTAGGCCGATCGGGGAGGGATGACAGCCCCGTCCCCTCCGTTTTTATTTTTATTTTTGTTTTTGTTTTTAACATCGGTGTGTTAAGCCACCAAAGTCCGAACGCCGGAGAACAAGGGGGTCAAACGCGGGGTGGGATTTGCACTCAAGACCCCTCCCCTGTTCTTCCACCTTTTACGCTACTCGAAGAGGCCGACAAAGAGAATTTTGTCAACCCCGTTTTAGCTTCAGAAATCTCGATTTAAATCTCCCTCCGGCGTCTCCTCTCAAATTCCGGCATCCAAACATCCTCCGGAACGACGCCCCCCCCGTGCCTCGGTTTCTCCAGCGTCTCTCGGTTGCGTCATTCTGAGGATCTTTCCGGCACGAGCTGCGCGGATGGCGATGTTGCAAGCTGCGTTGTCCCTGGGACTCTGGTGTCACATGCAAGGCGTGTGATCTCTGCTTGGTTTCCGCTCCGGGATTAAAACGGCTACTCGGCAGATGTTGGAAGAGGCGAGGCTGAACCGGGTCTGTCCCAGGTTGAAGTAGCCAACCTAGACTTTGCTAGACCACCATCCGGTAATGTAGAGTAGGGGGTTGAACCCCCCCCCCAGTTGGTCTTTAGGCTCAGAAGGAGAAAGGGGGGGCCTGTCAGCTCTAAGGACCCCTGGATATTCTGCATTTTTGAAGTGCCTTTTTCATGAAAAGCAGTTGGCCCAATGCAGGGGGGCAGACCCCGAGTCGAATACAGGGTGGGATCTGTCCTCGAAGATCCCCCCTTATTAAAAGCAGTTGGCCCAATGCAGGGGGGCAGACCCCGAGTCGAATACAGGGTGGGATCTGTCCTCTGACCCCCTCCTTATTAAAAGCAGTTGGCCCAATGCAGGGGGGCAGACCCCGAGTCGAATACAGGGTGGGATCTGTCCTCAAAGATCCCCCCTTATTAAAAGCAGTTGGCCCAATGCAGGGGGGCAGACCCCGAGTCGAATACAGGGTGGGATCTGTCCTCAAAGACCCCCCTTTTTCATTAAAAAAAAGTTGGCCCAACATAGGGGGGAGACCCCGAGCCGAAACGTGCTCCTGAAGTGAATGCAGAGAAGCACACTCCTAAATTAACACACCCCTCTCTTCCTTCAGTGCTTTCCCCAGCCACATGGTCTTGGGGAGGGGGGAATACTAAGAGAGACCCCCCTCCCAGACCCTAATCTGTCAGGATAGATCCCTCGCTTGAGAAGGCAAGTCTGCCTTCTCGTCCTTTTGTTTTGATTCCTGGAAGTGACACCATCTCCCGTCCTGCATCTTTCCCACACGCGCACACACACACACACACATATACCCCCACAATATTTGACCAAGGGCCCCCCCACAATATTTGACCAAGGGCCAAGGGCATTAATGGCCGCCCTTTCTTAAATCTCCCCCATTTGGGTGCCAGTTTGCTAAGACCGCTTGGCAAAAAAGTTGCGTGGATTTGTGGGTTTCGAACCGAGCGCTGCGTTTGTTTGGATCTGCTCCTCTCTCCTGCAGTGTTTGCAAAGTTGAAATAATGCTAGTTTTTTACACACACACACACACACACACAATCTTGCAAAACCCCCAAGGGAGGAGGACATTTTGCTAGGCGCACAGGCAAGGATACACCTAGGATGTAAGCTTGCTTTCCCACTGGGCTTCGTAAAACACTAATCGTGGATTCCTTAGCGAGGTTTTTTTCCCCGGGGGTGGAATCACCCCGATAGCCAAGGAGTGGAAACTTGACACAGTATTACTTCCTGGTCCTTTTTAATCCCCTTTGCTGCCAGGGGGAAGGAAGAGATCCGTTTGGGTAACACTAATAGGCCGGCCGTGTGTTCAAGGATTTGCCAGCAAGGCGCGACACTCGGCTAGCAACCCATCACAACATCGGACAGGCGTTGTTGTTTGCAGCCCCCTTGTTCAGGGGATGCAGGTGAGAGGCAGAAGCAGAGCAGGAAATGGGCCAATGAGGTAAAAAAACAGGCCCACCAGGTGTTTCTACCTGGAAGGCGCCCTTTGGTATAGATCCTGGCTTCCCGTGGTCATCAAGAGCGCCTGATGAAAGTCAGGACACACACACCCCTTAGCAAATTTGCACGGCTTGTTACTACTACTACTACTACAGAGAGGGTTACGCTCAGCTTTGAAAAGCGGGTCTCCCGATTCTGGGTTTCGTCGCTTTGTTGAACAGTGGGAGGGGGGGGAAGCTTTAGTGTCACAGGTAACGGGTTTGGGACAAGACACAAAAATGTTGTCTTGTTTTTACCATCTTGGGGGCGTTCCTTGTTCGACGTTCTTCCCGTTATTCAAATAAAGCTGATGGAGGAAGGAAGGAAGGAAGGAAGGAAGGAAGGAAGGAAGGAAGGAAGGAAGGAAGGAAGGAAGAAAAAACCCTCTCCATCCCAATTCTTCATCGCCAATCTTTGACGAGGCTTTTCTTATACAGCATCCGTGGAGTTTTATATAATGTACAACACACAAATGGTGTCTTAATAAAACTGTTTACATCCTTCCTGAGGCGTTGTGTGTTTTGCTGTTCAGGTGTGTTTGAGCTGGGTATCCGACAGCTGTTTTTTTGGGTGGATAGAAAGGGCCCACCCTGTTCAGCCGGAGTTTTATTTCCACAGGGGACCAGTTAGGTACTTATCGGGAGGGGAGAAGGAAAACCCGGCCCTCCCGCGGATCTTTCCCAACAACTGGGGTTTAGAGACATCGGACGACGATGGTGTTGTGCACGCGGGAATCTTCTGAAGCAGTTTCTCAACCCGGGTCACTTTCAGATGAGTGGACTTCAACTCCCAGAATTCCTCAGGCCAATTTTTCTCATCTTTAGCCACTTTTAAGATGAGTGGACTTCAACTCCCAGAATTCCCCAGCAGACCAGTTTTTCTCTAAGTGACTTTAAGACGTGGATTTCAATTCCCAGAATTCCCCAGCTGGTCAGCCTTTCTTAACCTTTAAGATATGTGGACTTCAACTCCCAGAATTCTCCAGCCAGCCGGGAGAAAGCCATGCTGGGCCAGTTTTGCAGGGCTGATGTGTAACATTGCGATGGCTGTGCACACTTGAAAAGTGGATTTGGGGCTCATGAGCCATCACCTCTTTACGGATAATTAAAGCAGCCACATCTCTCTCTCTTTTTCCTTTTCTGCTTCTCTCCCACTTTCTCTCTTTCTCTCTCCCCACCCATTTTTGCAAGCAAGTTTTGGGGGAAAAAAAAAAGGACACGGCTGCTTTGAACAGTTGGTTCATTAAAGCCACTCCAAGCAACCGCATTCTCAACAGGAGCCTGAGGCAAGATGGGCTTGCTTGTCAAAGTTGTTGTTTTTTTTTGGGGGGGGGGGGTCCGAAAAGTCCCGTTTCCTTCCAGATGGATCGGCGGCAGACCATCGCAGCTGCTCTTCCCAAACCAGCGGTTCGCACCGGATCCCTTGAACTGGGTTTATTGTGGCAATGGCTTGCTCCGAATTCTCAGGAAAGGATACGGGCGGGGAGCAACGCGGTCCTAAAATTCACAGCAGCTTTGTGGAATTAAAATAAATAAACAACAATGATGGGTTGCTTCTGCTGAATCTGGGCCACCCGAATAGAGTCTGGTTGCACGAGAGCCGAGTGCGGTACTAGCCATGGTTTCGACAGATTATAAGTTCCTAGGCTGGAACTCTGCACTGCTGGCAAGATACCTTGCAAGATAGGGGTTGGGGGAGCGCTGGGAAAATTACCCCAAAGTGGGTTTTCCCTCTGGGTAAAGCTCACAAAGCTGTGAGCCAATCGCAAGAGGGACATTTAGTCCTGGTGATGTTACTTAGTTGGGTAATGAAATGTCTGCAAGAAAATCAAGCTCAGAGAGCACTAAGAACCCAACGGTCCTCTTCCTCTTCCTTCTTTTCCTCTTCCTTTCCCGTTTCCTTCTCCTTCTCTTTCTCGTCCCCCTCCCCCTCCCCTCCTTCTCTTCCTCCTTCTCTCCATAAGCCCCCCTCCCTTCTAGCACCGATGATGTTCCCTAGTTGGGTCATGAAACGTCTGCAAGAAAACAACCAAGCTCAGAGAGCACCAAGGACCCAACAGTCTTCCTCCTCCTCCTCCTCCTCCTCCTCCTCCTCCTCCTCCTCCCAAACCCGACTCCCTTCTAGCACCGACGATGTTACCTAGTTGGGTCATGAAACGTCTGCCAAACAGGGACATTTACTTTCAAGCATTTGACTTATATTGGGTAGAACGGACTTTCCGAGAGGGAGTTTGGGTGACGAAGGAAAAAGTTTGGGGAGCATTGGGTTAGGGGTTCAAATCATCCGGAAAAGGGCAGCTCCTCTTCAGAAGGAGCAAACTTTTTTTTTTGGTCCACTCTTGTGTCTACACGGAGCCCTGGAGTGGTGCTGTGGGGAGAAAATGTGTGCGTGCGCGCACATGTGTGTTTTAAAAGAGCTTCATGGTACAGTGGGTGGGGAGGAGGGTCTCTTTTTTGGCATAAACATCGTCTTGGTTGAGTTCCAACATGCGGAGTGGCTGCTGGGCCCGGCCTTAGTGAGCTTCTCAGCTCTTGGGGCTGACTTGACTGGAGGACACCG